TCTCTTACTGCTCCCCAGTCCCTAAGAATGAGCAGGCCTCGTTGCCAAGCACTCCCAGCATGAGGTACTGTCAAAGAAAAGCTTTGGGGGGTGGGGGGTGGGTTAGGGTTAGGGCAGAGTGGCAGTGCGAGCACCGCCCTTCTGGGGTGTAGAGAAGTGTTTGCCAATGAATAGGAGAAAGAGGTGCACTGAGGTACAATGGCGTTCTGCAAATGGGTTTTGGGAAGGGGATGAAGAGGTAAAAAGCTAAGAAGCCTCAGAAAGCCCTTCCTGTGTGGGATCCTCTCTGGGGAAGGACAGAGCACGGCGGGCCTTTGCCGAGGCTGAGGGGCGCGGACACTGATGACCCCCGTTAGTTCGTTTGAACTTCGGTTTATGCTCTGTTTATCCCAGGGGCGCAAGCCAAATGAAAGAGGAGCTTCACGGTTAAGAAAGAAAGAGAGAGGAGAGCAAGAGTGTCCAAGGGGGCATTGCTTAGGAGAGCCCGGAAGATGGAAGGGCTGAGGGTTCACTCACGGGGCCTTCTCTCTGCCGGCCAGCCTTACAAAAACCTGTTCCAGGGTCTGTAGTGAAGCTTCACATGCAAACTCAAACATGCATGAGGAAAAGCCAAAGAGCTGCTGAACCTCTTTTCTATCGGAGAGCATCAGCAATGGTCACAGAAGTTTTTCTTAGATAAAGTAGTGAAATAGTGAAAATATCAGGTCATTGTTTAATAGGTGCACAAATGGAACGTTCTAGAAGGATTTCCAGACACACAGGGTGTTGACAGCCATGTTCTTGGTTCTCAGGCAGATGCTTGGATGATATGAGAAAACTGGAAGAGGGGTCTAAAGAGGTTTTAAAATATGCAGATTGCTCCACGGTTTGGTGACTGTCACTTCTCTATGGGACAGTTCATCCTTTCTGTATGAATGAAGGCGCACGGACTTAGTTACCACCAAATCTAAGCTTTAGAAAAGTGCCGTCTTCCAGTTTCTGCAGACTCGTTTTGGCTGAGAAGTCAGAATAAAAGAAGGTATTCGCGCTTTAGGGACATCACCATGAAAAGCAGTGAATTTATTTTAACCTGCGAATGTCATAATATTGGCTACAAAGTGTCCCTAACTTGATTAAACAGAAGATTATTTCAGAAAGGAGGGAACGATGCTACTTTTTTTAGAAGAGAGACATGAAAAGATACGTATTAAGTGAGTTAAACTGAACAGAAAGAAAGTAATTTGTTTGATTCAAAGTGAAGAATGAAGATGAGCTTTTTTTTTTCTTAAGGATTTTTTCATTTTCATTTTTCTTGGTTGTTTAACTGACAAAGATGAGAGGTAGTACAAAGCCAGCTACACTCATTGTTTCAAAGTCAATCAAGAATCGCTCTTGCTTACAAAAGCCTTTACACCCTTTCAAAGAGTTATTTCAAGGTACTGGTAATAAGTATATTGTAATTGCAATTATATTTTCTTCATCCTGCTCTTGAGCGTCTTCATATGTATTTCCCCAACTTTCAAGTAGAAAAAGCAGCAAGTTCATTTATTGACAATTATTATTTGTTATAAGAGAAAAATTTATGATATTTAATCAATTCAACTACTATCAAATATAGGAATGAAATTTTAATACCATTTAGCATAAAAGCTTTTATTATTTTTACCTGATTATAGAGCAATCTGAGGTAATGACCTAGTTATATTGATATCTATCTTTAGATTCTATGTACATCTACTTTATATTAATCTACATGTAAGGTACTTTGTATCTAATATCTAGGTAATCTAAGGATTACAGACAAATCTGTACTAATGTTAATCTGCAACTAATCTATTATATAATCTATAGGTAATAGATACATATCTGTTAATCCTTCTAAGATACTTATAATTAAATAACTAATGTGTCCACATAAATTGAAATTAGCACAAGTAGAAAATTCTACCTTTCTATATATTACTTGTTAAAGAAATATTGATTCACTAAGAATACATTTTATGCATAATTTCTCCTAGTTCAAAGGGTCTAGATTGCTTTTCACTTTTGTATTTTTCTCTTAAATTTGGGATAGGGTAGATTTGGGGTTGATTAGAAAAAATAATTGTACAAATATTAATAGGATTCTTACATACTACAGACTTTATTTTAGAATTGTTTATTGCTATGTTTGAAAAAATCCTTAACCAAGTGGCTCAAAAGAACAATGTCCATTTTACCATTTCATTCCACTTGAGAGGGGCTGAAAGGGGCTTGGTCATCTTTGCTTCTCTGGGATTTAGCCAGATGGTGGGAGGCTAAGGAGTGGCCCATGGGCTCCCTTATGTGCATGCCAGGGAGATGCTAATGTCACCCTCACCTCAACTGGGTCTTTCCAAGTGGCCCCTGGGCTCCTAGAGAGAGTGGTGGTTGGATTCCAAGCATGAGGGACCCAGATGACCAAACAGCAGTTGAATTGCCTTTTCTATGCTGAAACTGCTGACCCCACAGCCTCACTTCTGATGCATCTCATCCTCAGGACAGTCACAAAAGCTTACTTGGCTCCAGAGGGGCAGGGAAAAACAAAACAAATAAACAAAAACACTCCAAATTTCGGGAAGAGAATATTGTGACCATTTTTGGAATACACAATCTTCCACATTGAGTATAGCTGTTATTTTAATTTTCATCACATAAATCATGAAAGCAGCAGAGTTGATGCTGATTCTAGAAGTGGGCAGAAGACATTATGTTATTCAGGTAAGGCTTGCCGAGGAAGAGCTGTGGTCTTCACTGTAACCTGGATCCATGTTCTGATTGGGGAGGCCACTGCTCTGACAGCCCAGAAGTTATGCCCCTCATTCCCTCAAGGACTTTTTTTGCTAACTTAACTAATAATAAACCTCCTGAACTGAGGAAAGTAGCACTTTTGTTGTTGGTGATCTGACAAGAAATGAACACTTAATAAACACAGAACTCACTTTCCCAGCTCTGGGAAATGGAAGAGACCCAGTCAGTAGGGGAAGAGGTTCAGAAGCCTGGGATGAGGTCTAATTTCTCTATCCCATGCATCTTTGTGCCCTGAATTCCAAGGATGTGAACATGTGCCCTCACCTTTCAGGGTGGCAGGGCTGCAGGAGAGGAGGGATTCTCCCCTCTGGCTCCCAGGTCACAGGGGGCATGACCCTTTGTATTCGTCATGTATGGTTTAGCTTTCTGTTTTCTAAAGCTTTGACACCTCAACCTTGCTGGGCCGAAAGGGACTGCTCTTCCCAGAGCTAGATAATTCTTAAAGCAAGCGGAGAATAGAGCTTCCTTTACATCTGAGCTGGCTAACCAGCTCCAGGCCTCCACCATCTGCTCTCTGGGGGGGGGTCCCTTACCCTGGGGCATTTTGCCAGTCCTAACCAAAGAGCCCACTGAAGTCATCAAACCAGTTGGCCAACCTGCTCCCCCACCGGCCCTCTTGCTTCCCCTAGAGCTACCATGAAGCTCCTGGGCCAGCTTGGCCCCTCACTGGCTCTGCATCCATGGACGGGATCTGTGTGGCCTCTGAGGCTGCACATCCTTCCCCTCGAGAACTGAGCATCACAAAGTCTCTGTTCTGTGATGGTGGGACTGCTGCTCTCACGGTACCTGAATAACAATAAAAAAAAAACTGTATTCTAAATCACTCTTTAAATAGAAACCTCAAATCAGCAGAAATGGTCAAGCAATTGTCTCTTAACTCACTATAATAAGAAAAAAGAGTTGGTGAGGTCTGGGCATATAACTCTGTAATAGTCATCAGGAGACTCGGGGTCTTTGACCCTATGGGTCAGAATTTCAGGTGGAACATATTTTCAATAGCTCTGCTGCCAAAGTTGGTAACCAGTGAGGCATCAGCCAAAAGGGTGCCAGTTAGACACCTTTAGATGAGGTTCTAACTTTAAGAAATGACCTTGGAGACCAGGATAGTAGGAAGAAATCCCAAAGACAGAAATGACCCTCCATTTCTCCACTGGCCAGAGAGGGGGGCCTAGAGCTTCTATTTAACAGTGCCCACGTTAATGTCTCAAGCAGCTATGGCAGATGTCTCTGGATTTCCAGAAAGAATTATTCACAAATAATTATTCTCAAATAACTTTCACTGGGGAGCATGAAGCATAACAAATTGGGGCAAATTTATGTTTCATTCATGGAGGAAATAAATTAATATATTGTCAGTCACAAGAACAGAATTAAGACACATCTCCCCATGTGATCCATGGGTTCCTAGAAGATAGAATAAATTCACACCAGTCTCTGAATTCCAGGATAAACATGAACACATTTCTTTAGAAATCTCATCTCCCCAATTCCATTAGGAAATGACTCTTGCTTCACCTGACAGCCAGAAAATTATAGGTTTCAAAATAGCTCTTCTTTTTGCAACGATTTACAACCACCATGCGGGACTTGAGTTTGTTTGTTACTTGGCCGAGTGTTAGTTGAGTTAAAAATGTGTTAATCACAAGCATCAATAAAGTAGGAACACATTGAATACAGAGGAAACCCTAGTTGGTTATTTCCTGGGATAATTTCTAGAAGTAGAATTTCTGAGTTGAACATTTGCACAGCTTTTAAAATGCTGGACTGGTTTGGCCATTTTCATTCACACAGGGTGCACCCACTGCCACCAAGGTAGCTGTGCACACCTGGGCCTGGTGCCCCACACCTGCACATTCCCAGGCAGGTGCCTCTCTCCACTGAGAATTCCATCCTGGTCACACCTTAGCAAGAGTGTAACCCCACAGGTTACAAACACAGATAGTGGCCACCAAAGTTTACATGGTCAGGAGCCCCCAGCATAGGTACAGGCTCAAAGTCCACCCTCGCTGTGGGCCAGGATACTGGCATTCCTTCCAGAGGGGGAAGGAACCAGTGGCAAGCTGGTTGTGCAGGAGAGCTTGGGAAGGAGAGAGGCTGGAGCAGAGATCTTGTTTTCTCCTGCCCACGACCAGCTCAGCTTAACAGGAAGCCAAGAGCCTGTGATGAGAGGACAATTCACTTCTGGCATTCAGATAGGAATACATGTTCCTGGTCCATTATACAACACCAAGTCTGGCTTTACTTGGAGAATCAGAGGAAAGGAGAACCACATGGAGTGCAAGGTGGTGAACACTGTGGAGAACCAGGACTGCTGAACCTCCCGGCTTCTTGGAATTTGGTGAATGTAGTATTGGGGATAGATGGTATTAGAATCTCAATTAGCTTGATCTCGTTCAAAAGATTTAATTTTATTGGAACTCATTTCATCAGTGTCAGCAATGACATAATGTCTAGGTGAGTAAGCACTGGACAAGCTCCCAACCAGCCTCAGGATCTCTGTGGTATGACCACCGGACCCAGCCACCACCAGGAGATTGAGGGACTCCCAGGGTGCCACGTCCTGGGGCCGAAGCACTATCCATAGTCGTAGGATTAGGACCACAGCCACAGCTCCGATCGCTGCAGCTAAAATTTGAAAACACACCATTCACAGTCTGGCTGGGCACAATTCAGGAGCCACTTGTCAAAAGAAACTAACTTTATTTTTAGAACTACAAATGCCAAACAAAACAGCTCCTCAGGAAAAAACCCTCAGAGCCCAACTGCCATCACCGGCTTCCCACAAGCCTCTCACCCCACACAAGCCTCACCACCTCCCAATATCCTCCTGTTCTTGAGGCCAATTGGCTGGATCGGGGGGGGCAGAGAAAAAGAAGTCCCCCAATGAGCAGCTCCGTGGTCTGAAAGGACAGGGAAACAGCCCAATGAACATCACCGCAGAGGAGCCAATCAGCTAGATGTTGCTGGGGCCGCTGTGAGCCAATCATCAGCCGGCAGCTGGAAGTTTGCTGGGGCCCCTTTGGCTGTGGCTCTCAACACACTTCCCAACATGAGAAACCTTTTCAAAGGATCACCTTACAGATAAAAAAAAAAAAAACAAAAAACAAAAAAACAAGAAATAAAGCATACAAAGTCCAAGGGGAAGGGGATGCAGAGGAAAAGTCCATCCAGGTTCAGGGGCCCACCACCACCATGATCTTCTCCCTGAAGCACACCATGCACGGACAAGTACACCTGGGTGAGTGTCCCCACTGAGAACACGTGTGACTCATGACCATTGGGCAAACAGAACAGCAGCCCAGTCTTCTCCTGTCTTCCTCCGCCTTCCTTCACCCCAACAGAGGCCCTGGATCTGTGTTTGCACTTTAGATCAAGGACTATGTAGAGTGAGCATGTGCTTTGGTGTTTCTGGCTTTTCTTCACTTAACATTGTGTCTGTTAATTGTTCATTTTATCCATTATTTTATGAGTAATTTTAGATTTTGCATTCTCGGTATTGGAAAGTCTATTATCATATATTATAGATTTGTGTGTGTGTGTGTGTGTGTGTGTGTGTGTGTGTAATATGGTTTTGTTTACTCAACCTTTGGATATTTGGGTTGTTTCTGGCTCTTTCAACTACTGCTGTTTTAAACATTTTAGTTTGTGGATTTTGGAAAAGAGTATGCACAGAATTCTGTTGAGTGTATGTAGGGGTGGTGTTGATGGATCAGAGCCCATGCCTATATTTACCTTTGGTCAATAATAAACTTTTTGGCTGGTAGTACTAAACAAATTTATGAAGTGATTGAATTTTACTTTTTAATCATTTGTAACATCTAATCTTACCAACCATTTTCTTGAGTAAGCCTATTGCCTGTGAGATTTTATACATTTGTCTTAGGCCTGTAGCTTTCCTGGGGAGAAGAGAGAGAAAGATAGGGAGGGCAGGGAGAGAAGAAAAAGAAGAGGAGGAGGAGGAGGAGAGGGAAAGGGGGAGAAAGAGGAAGAGGAGAGGGAGAGAGATAGAAGGACAGAAAGAATGAGAAGAACAGGTTAAACCCCCTCTTTAGAGGAGGCTGAAGGTTTTTATGTTCATCTGGAACCAAGTTGCCTGGGTTCACATCTGATTCTCTGTTTTGGTAGCTGTGTGACACTGGACTAGTCTTGAATCTCTGAACCCCAGTTTTCCCCTCTGAGGTTGAGATGCAGCAGCCCTGACCCCAATGGCTGGCTGTGGTGATGGGGTAGACGTGTGGTGCTCTAGGAGCAATGCCTGTGTCCTGCAGTAGCTGAATGTGTTTGCTTTCACTGCTTCTTTCAAGAGGAGCCTGCAGACAATTCTAATCAGCAAAGGCAATGAGATTATTTTAATGGTAGAAAAATGTGAAAATAACACACTTAAAATTGTTTTTTACAAAGCTCTTTTAAAATATTATTCTACATAGGACAAGAGGAATTGCAATGTTGGAAAGGCCCTGAGACAGGAGTCAAGAACTTCATTACCATGTCCCCCCCCCCACCGCCACTGCTGCCCACGTGACCTGGGGATGCCCCTTCCCTTTTGAGGTCCCTGAGTTTCATGTCATGTGAAAACAGTGGTGAGTCCCTGGAAGTGGTGGTCTGGGATGACACCCACTGGGGTCCTCTTTGGAGGGAGGACACAGCAGTCTTCCTGCACACCATTTTACTTATGTATAGGTATAGTTAGTGCATGACCAAAACCCAACCCCTCTTTTTGCCCTCATCCCCCAGAAGGCAGCCCCTGGCTCCTGGAAATCAACCATGACTGGCTTAAGCTTTCTGGGTCCAGCAGGGGGGCTTGCAGTCATAGGAGGAGGTCAGCGGCAGCTTCCAGGGAGTGGAAACTCCAGATCAGTGCTGGAGCGCATGGGGAGAGAACCTCACCTTTGCCTTCCAACGTTCTGGATGTCACCTGTGGTCAACATGGGTGTGGGATGACATTGAAGGACAGGTTCAAAGACCAAAGCCAGTAGTCTGAAGAAGATGGACTTGGGGAGAACAGTCTTGCCTTTTAGGGCCTTTATTGATCCAATCTTAAGAGCTCCCTCTCTGGGTTTTCCATGAGAATTGAATAATTGCCCCATGATTTAACACACAGGGCAGGGTCTTTTTTTGTTATCTGCAACCATCCACATCCTAAGTGATGTGATCCAGTACCCACTGGGGTGGAGGGAGCTGAGGCAGGGGCACAGAGCTCTGATGCACCCCAGGGCCTCTGCACAGACCTTCCCTGTGCTCTTGGCCCTCTCCATTCCCATCTCCACCTGAGCCCTATGCCTGGCTTGGTCCTAATCCTTCCCACCTCCACCAAGACCTTCTCTCCTCAGGGCCATGGCACCTGACTCTCAGGCTAATTGGTGTCTTCCCCTGGCACATTCACTGCAAGGTTCTAGGAGAATTTCTCCCCTCCCCATGCATGGATCAGAACCCCAGGAACACAGAATGCAACCTGTCAACTGCTCTATCCTTTGAGGGTGGAGACCACTGGTTCATTTCTATGTCCTGGGTCTTGGGCTTCTCAGCACAGTGCCTGGCAGAGGGAGGGCTTGATCAATATACACCATGTTAGCCTGAGGCTGTCTACTCACTGCAGGATTCTGTGCAGCTTCCTGCCTCCTCCCTGAATTCCAGGGTCTGGTGATGTCCTGGGCAACAGGAGTGTGGGAGAGGAGGGAGTCACCTTTTCTTCTTATTCTTTATTTTGTGCTAGGGATTAAACCCAGTGGTGCTTAAGCACTACACAGCATCCCCAGCTCTTTTTATTTTTGAGACAGGGTTCTCACCAAAGTGCAAAATCTGACCTTGAACTTTCCATCCTCCCTCCTCAGCCTCCCTCTTTGCTGGGATGACAGGCGCATGCCACCAAGCCAGGCCCTTCTTATTCTTGATGTGTCCATGTGAACTTGGCTGAGATGCCCACCTCCATATTTGTCCTATGCCATTTTCACATGTGGAACTGGCCCTCCCCTCTGTTCTCTGGGAAGCAGCTTCCACACCTTTTGGCCTTCCTCCTCAGTGCCCTACCTCACTAATCAGGATGCGGCTGCTCTTCTCCCAGGATTCTGGTTCCCAGAAAACTCAGTGGGCCAGACTAGGACACAGTGCTCTGCAGGCTGTCTTGGGCTCACTTCCCAGCCCAGTCTCCTCTCTTTGGGGTCAGAACATCTGAGTCCTTCAAACCCACTTGGGATTGACCCAGGAGAGGTATCATCCTCCCTGCCTTAGAGCCCGCTCCTTCTTTGGAGGAAGTCAAAGCAGTTAGACCAAAGTGCATTTTTAAGATTTCCAACGTAACCATGAGGGTGTGTGATTGTAAGGGGCCTTGTAGTGACTGCCGGAAGGAAGAAAGATACAAGGAGGAGCAGGTCTGGAGAGTGCAGCCAGCAGGTGGCCTGAGCAGCACCCCCTCTGGCAGCCCTTCATCTATAACATGAATTATGTATGTCTCCGTCTGATTTTGAAGCTCATTTCAAATGTTTGTTTAATTTCCTCAATTATGAGGACATAAAGCATCTCCCCCTGGGGTGCCCTAAGAGTTAGCTTGGAAGTCCTGGGTGTTTGTTTAGGGGTCTTCATTGGCAGCTAGATGCATCATCTTAAATATTTATGAAAATGTTAACAAATAAATCTCTCTTTGCAATTGGTATTAGATGATAGGGACAGAGTTACAGCATGGATTTTCCTTTGGCATTAACCACCATAAAGAAAAAAAATTAGTTTCTGTTACTTCCTTGGAATAAGAGGAACTATCCAAGAGAAGAGAAGTAATTGCTCTCTGAGCTTCAGACTTTCTTTATGAGGAATCTATTCCTGGTGATGCTTCTAAGCAATCATTACTGCAGCAGTCCTGGGGTCTCCCATCTCACTTCCTCCCTCCTTGTATATTCTAGGGTTCCTAATTTGAGAACAATCTGCTTCTGAGAAATCAATTCCTCTATAAGCCCCCTTTTGCCAGAGTTCACAGATAAAGTACAGGAGAGGTAGGGGAACTTCAGAAAAACAATGTAAACATTTTAAGTATAAGTATGTCTTAGATATTTTATGGGCTATACTTAAGTTTAAAAAGTTGCTAAATGCCTCACATTTTGGAGAATCAGCTGAGAGAGTTCATTGGGCTTGCAGGAAGCCTTTGCTGGAGGAAGAAAGGTTATCAAGGGGTTGGAGGAGCACTTAGGATTGGACAGTTGAGAAGTTCCCTCTGTCCCTGCTCACTGCTTAATTAATACATGTGGGAAACAGAAACAAGGGGTGGATCAACTTGCTGTGCCCACCTGCTTTTTCCCAGGTTCCCAACCCCAAACCATTCATTTGCTGAAATGATGACAACCAGACGCAATATTTACAGCCAATGCCGAGAGCTGCTTCAGTATGTAGGATTGTAGCTCAGTTCTGCCTAGAAAGCCAGGCAAGGGATGTCTGAAATTCTTGTGACTCCACTGAAATAGGGCTCAAGTTTCAGCCTCTGGCTTTAGATGGCACTTCTTCCTCATGGTGGCAGGCCATATGGTTAGGCCATACAGTCCTTTTCCCCATTCACGGGGGCTTGGCCACTCTGTATGCATGGTGTCCTGGCTGCCTTGCCTAGGCCTGCCGACCACACTGCTTCCTTGGCTATAGACTAGTTAAATAAGCAGCAACCCAGAA